TCGAGAACATGGCAAGAGTGAGCGTCCACTCTCATCACTCTTGTTCAACATCGTACCGGAAAGCCGAGCCAGCCAGCGCAGTCTCTTTATTCTTCAAGATAAAGAAATAAAAGGTATCCAAATTAGACAGGAAGTAAAATTGTCTTTCTTTGTGTATTATATGATCTCATATATAGAAAACCCTAAGGACCAAAAAGCGGTTAGAACTAATAAAAAATTCAGTAAAGTTGCAGGACAGAAAATTAGCATGCAGAAATAAATTGTTTTTATAACTCAACAAAATATCTGAAAAGGAAATAACAAAACACTTAGGAATAAATTTAAACAAGGAGGTGAAAGATCAGTACACTGAAGATTATATGACTTTGATGAAAGAAACTGAAGAAGACACACATGGAAATATATCCTGTGTTCATAGATTGGAAGAATTAATATTGTTAAAATATTCAGACAACCCCAAATCATCTATAGATTCAATGTAATCCCTGTCAAAATTCCAGTGGCATTTTCCACAAAAATATTTTTAAAATCCTGAAACTTGTATAACCCCAAAAGACCCCAAATGACCAAAGCAATTCTGAGAAAGGACAAAGACAGAGGCATCACACTTTGTGATATCAAACTATACTACAAAGCTGTAGTAAGCAAAACAGTATGGTACCATCACAAAAATAGACACCTAGACCAATGGAACATAATTGAAAGCCCAGAAATAAACAGTCAAATATATGGTCAACTAATGGCAAGGAAGCTAAGAAGACTATGAAGAATGGGTAGTCTCTTTAATAAATGGTGTTGGGAAAACTGGATAACCACAGGCAGAAAAGTGAAACTGGATCTCTGTTTTACACCACTCACAAAATTTAACTCATCAGGGACTAAAGACTTAAACAGGACACCTGGAACTGTAAAACTCCTAGAAATTTAGGGGGAAAGCTCCTTGACATTGGTTTTGACAATGATTTTTAAATTATGACATCAAAAGCACCAGCAATGAAAGCAAAAATAAAAAAGTAGGACTACACCAAACTAAAATGCTTCTGTATAGCAAAAGAAACAACAAAATGAGCCCTGGCCGGTTTGGCTCAGCAGTTAGAGCATTGGCCCAGGGACCGGAGAGTCCTGGGTTCGGTTCCCGCTAAGGGCATATACCTCGGTTGCAATTTGTCCCCTGTCCCGGTTGTGTGGGTGGCAACCAGTCGATGTGTCTCTCTCACATCAATGTTTCTCTCTCTCTCTTCCTCTCTCCCTTCCGCTCTGTCTAAAGATAAATGCAAAAAATGTCCTTGGGTGAGTATAAAAAAAAAAAGAAACAAAATGAAAATGCAACCTAGGGGATGCGGGCGGGGCAGGAGGAGAAAAACCAAAGAACTTAGAGGCATATACACATAACCAGTGGGCACAGACAACAGTGCAGTGAGGGTAGGGAGCAGGGAGGAGGGTGTCTTTGGGGGCAAAAAGGAGAGACATCTGTAATACTTTCAATAATAAAGATAAATTTTAAAAAAGAAAAGGCAACTTACGGAATCAGAAAGTATTTTCAAAACACATCTGATAAGCAGTTAATATCTAAATATATAAAGAACTTACACAACTCATTAAAGAAAAAATTGAATTTAAAAATAGAGAAACTGAATAGACATTTTCTCCAAAGAAGACATACAAATGGCTAACAGGTACATGAAAAGGTGCTCAACATCACTAATCACCAGGGAAATGCAAATCAAAACCACATTGAGGTATCATGTCACACCTGCTAGATGGGCTGTCACCAGAAGGACAAGAGACAAGTGTTGGCAAGGCTGTGGGGAGAAGGCAATCCTTGTGCACTGTTGGAAGGAATGTAAGTTGATGTAGTCACTATAGAAAACAATATGAATGTTCTAAAAAATTAAAAATGGAACTACTAAATGAGCTGGTGTTCACACTCTAGGAAAGGAAAAGAAAACAGGATCTCCAAGACATAGCTGCACTCCCATATTTATTGCTAAGTGAAATAAATCAGGTAGAGAAAGACAATTATGATATCACTTATCTGTGGAATCTAAAAGGAGCCAAACTTACAGAAACAGAATAGGATGGTGGTGACCAGGGGCTGGGAGATTGGGAAAAAAGGGAGGTGTTGGTTGCTCAAAGTGTACATATTTCTTGTTAGAAGATTAAGTTCTAGGGATCTAATGCACAACATAGTTAGCAATACTGTATTACATACTTGAAAGTTTCTAAGAGTAAATCTTAAATATTATCACTACCAAAAAGAAGTGGTAATCGTGTGCTGTGCTGGAGGTGCTAGCTAAATGCTAGAGGCGATCATTTTACAATATATGAGCATTGAATCGACACATACACCTTAAACTTACAGAATGTTATTTGTCAATTACATCTCAATAAGGCTGAAAAAATGGGAATGCTGATATTTTAAGTAAAGTTTTGATACCTCGAAGTATCCTCAAACACCTCCATAGAAATTTAAATATTTTTCCAAAACACCTTCAAAAACCTACTTACTATTACAACATAATTCAGTCCATGATATACCGTTGGCAATCCAATGAAGTGGAAAGTAGAGATGGACTGCATATTCAACATACTGCTAAATTTCAAAATAAAGGTTAAATGTAGCTATTTCTTGTCCCCATAGATTTTTTTTCCCTTAAAGACCAGCGAGGTACGTGGAAAATGAAAAGCCAAACAATCATGCATCTTATTTTAATTATTTATATTTAAACTTACCTGTGTAAAGGATGGGGAAATTAGGAAAACAGAATTAGAAACCTGAGAAGTTAAAAGTACATAAAATAGATTTTAAACAGTCATTCGAACAGCAGATGCTTTCATTTCATGTTTCAAGTGTAGGAAAAACAAATATCAATACATAATTCATACAAATGGCTCTACAAAGCACTCAACAATCCAACAGGGAATGTTACTAAAAGAACTGGTTTCCATTCTTTCATGTGGTAAATCCTTAATAATGTGATTTTATTCTAACAGAAACATGAAATAGGAAGAACTATGACCCAAACCCAAAGCAGTTTTATGACAATGTTCTTTTATATCCATGTTTAAAACTTCTGCGTTACGATTGCTCACACTGATGTGGGAAACTCTTTGAGAGGGTTCTTCCCATTTCCAGGACAGTCTAGCTTGGTATATTTCTCACGTTACGAGCCTTCTTGTCCAAGTGCCTCGTGGGTATCTTATCCTGACTTCTCTAATGGGGAAAACTGAGAACAGCAGTGAGGTTTGTGCTTCTGCTTCGGAAGGGTGCTTGGTGCAGTGTTCTGGGTCGGGGAGCTCGATCCAGGAACTGCTCAACCCTGTGCACGGGGACAGCTGTGTACAAACGTATGCATTTGATCTAACGTTAGGATAGAAGAACGTACTCCTTGTGGCCTTGGAGCAAGAGACCCGGAGGGGAGCTGAGGTCTTGACTCACTTGCTCGGTGCACTTGAATAGCCACTCACTTTTTCTTGCCTCAATTCCCCAACTCATAGGATAGAAATAACAGCCCTGCCCTGCCGAGAGTACAAAGCTGTTGAGAGCCCAGCCAGATCAAGTGGTCACAAGTTTACAAATCCGAAGGCTTTGACGACGATGGTGCTGCTAAAGGAAACCGGAGCCTGTGCACAGTGGGTGCTGGGCAAACACCTGGGGCGAGGCCATCAGCTCCCCGGACGGCCCAGCGGGAGCTCGTGGCAGGGACGTGCCCGCGCAGATCTAACAGCAGCCGGCCTTGCTCTCCCGGCCTTGCTCTCCCGGCCTTGCTCGCCGGCCTTGCTCCTCCGGGAGGGTCTGTGGTCGGAAGCGCTGTGCTTACAGCGCGTGAGCTGTGCAGGGTGGGGCGCAGTGACCTGCTACTTTTGTTTCCATTTTTTTATTTCCAGGTTTCTGTGGGTTTCTCTCATCTAGTTTCCTGTTTTTCCCGAAAGCCTGGGTGTATGAATATCTTCTTTCCTGCAGGTGTTGGGAATGTCTTTTCTCCTTCCGGACATGCTCGGCCGTCGCTGTCCTTCGCGTGGGCTCTGTGGGCTGGGTGACCGCGGCCGCCGAGAGGGAGACCCAGGCAGGCGCCCACGGGACGGCGACGGGGGCGCCCGAAGCTCCGCCGCACATCGTTAGAAACTCGGTTAAGTTTAAAAGTATATAATCTGCAGTTGAATTCTTTGAAAACATGGCTTTGCCATTAAACTGGTGCCAATAAACTATCAGTAGATTGTGAAACATCACCCTCAAACAACTGAGAAAGCCCATTTTAATACAATTTAAGAGTCTTGTTATATATAATATGCATCTGCATGTGTTATACAAATATACACACGTCTATATTAATTTATGTCTTTTTGTGTTTCTTAATAAATACTCATTTAAAAACAAACAAACTTTGCTCTGGCTGGTGTGCTCAGTGGTTAGAGCATCAGCTCATGCACCAAAGGGTCTTGGGATGGATTCCCAGTCAAGGGCATATACCTGGGTTGCTGGTTCCATCCCTGGCCCTGGTCACAGAAATTTGTGTGTCTCTTTCATACCGATGTTTCTCTCCCTCTCTCACCCTCCCTTCCACTTTCTCTAAAAATCAATGGAAAAAATATCTTTCAGTGAGGATTCACAAAAACAAAACAAAACAGAAACACTTTTATTTTTCTTAGAACCCATGGATGATGCAATCCTGTTTAGAGTTCCCTGGTTTTTATGTCCTCGAGTTTTATATTGTTTCTTTTTTCTTCCTTGACAAAAATTATAGCTGCTTGGAGAAGTGACAGCTCCCCTCAGTGTCTCTGGCTTCCCAAGCGCTGGACTACGGCCGCTCTGGAGCCTCCCTGGGGACCACAGGGATGGAAATTCTCAGCCTCAGCTGGAGCTCAGCAACACTGAGGAAACAGAAAGAAACTGTGATTTTCCAAAGCCCAGTTGACTAAGATGTCTGTCTTCTCATATAATGGCCCTACCTTTTAAGGATAACTCTGAGGGCACTGCATCATGTCGAGAGGAATTATATCAGCAAGAGATCCCTGCTACGTTGGAGCCTACGTGCACGGCTCAGCACAGGAAGTCCTGTGAGTTAAAATTATAAAAACAATCTTGTACATGAAAGCTTTTCAGTGACTCTAAAGATATATATATATATTCCAACTTGAAGTATTATTGTATATCTCTCCCGTTCAGAAAGGACTTTTCCCAAATCAGTCACTGCCATGTGTTTGCTGTTTATTTTAATTGAAGTCTACACACATATTTTACAGTTTTCCATACATTGCTCTAAATAGAGAAATTTCAAGAAAAGATGTCGCTAATCATTGAACAAATATTGATATTTCACACATCACGTTTGGTAAACCATTGCTTAACTGATAATAAGTGCAGCCACCTTTGATCTTGGACCAAGCTAAGTGTTCTTGGAACTGGCCCAAATGCTGTTTGTTTTGTTTTGTTTCCCTTATCACTTACAGAAGGGACGTTTGCTGGATATAAAAGTTGTTTTTTTAATTATTCTCCCAGGTCTTATGGAGAAGCTGAGGATTTATATGTCATTAAACATTTTTAACTATAAGGAAGTCTATGCGGTTAAAACTGTTAAAAGGAGTCATGATGTTTCGGATACTCTATTCTTAAGTAAAGTCCATGTGTCCACAAAGAAACATCCAACGGAGCACGTGTGGCCTGTGTGGCTTGGATACTGTGGGATTCACCCCAACTCCTGCTTTCAGTCTTGACTCCTACAGTCTCTTCTCCACAAAGAGTTTCTTCGATGATGTTAAGTTAAATGATGTCATTCCTTGGATGACAACCCAGCGATAATGACCTGTCTCACTCAGGATGAAATCCAAAGTCCTTACTTCGGTTTAGGAGCAGGGTTACCATCGAATTTATCATTCAAATGGGACAATTGAGAGTGACAGGGGCCTTCAGAGTAATTATGCCAGGACAACAGGTGTAAAGCATGGGTGTCCCAAGCAATTTGGGACACAGAGGCACCTGCAAGGCCCTTCGTGACCTAGGTGCCACCACCGCAGAGGATCCTGTTCAATCAGTGGCCTGTCCCGTCTCTCAACCCTCACTTAGCTCCAGCCACGTCCACCTCCTGAATACATCTCAATGTAACATATGCCCCGTCTGCTTGAAATGTTCTTCCCGGAGGTATCTGCGTGTCCTGCTCAACGTAATCCTGGTCTTGACTCCAATCTCGTCTATTCTGCAGAGCGTTCCCGACTCCTTCCTAAAATAGCATCCTTCTCCCTTTGTTCACTCTCTCTCCTGCCCTGCACTGTTTTTCTTCGTAACACTTATTACGTCTTGACATAGTTATATGTGTACTTTTTGTTTGTTTCCTAACTGGTTATGTTTCCCCTACCAGAAAGCAAGCTCCATCAGTGGACAAACTTTGGTTTGTTGACTGCTGTGTGCCGGGCTTCTAGAGTAGAGCCTGCCACTTAGCAGGTATTTAATCATACTTGATGGATGAGCAAATAAATACATGCAATGGAAAGACGTTGCTGGCTGGAGTGGGTTGTTTGAAGAGGAAGAAGCGCTTCAGTTTACTTATGGATGACAGTTAAGTGAGAATGCTTGTAATCTACAAGGGTCATAACTGACATAGGCAAATTAATGTCTTCTCTAGGATTAGAGAGGTGCCAGGAGAATTACATTACAGAAAGAAGGAGGGGACATTTTGGCTGAAGTGAATGGTAAAGATGATTCTCTAGAAATAAATGATGTCTCGCTGAAATGTTTTTGCCATCTCATTATAGTGAGATTATTTCCTTCCTGATAATGCATATTTTATGTCTTTCTAATCTATTTAATCCATTAAAAAAAACTTAATTTAAAAAATTTATTTCAAATTTTGTGGCAGTTATTAGTTTTAGGAGGTCCCTTAACTGATATTGGCATCTTAGAAATAATATTGAACTATCAGAACACCACCTATATGCCTGGCATTATTTTAAGTGTTTTACAGATATTATCTTATTTAGCCCTATATGATGTTGGTGTTTTCTTTATCCACGATTAGCAGTGAGGAAACTGAGGCACAAAGTGGTTAAGTCCGTCTGACTGTAGAGCCCCAATGCCTTTGCCGTATTGTATGATTTATTTGTTGTTGTTTTAGAATCATCCGCAGTTTATTATTCCTGTTAGTCTCTATATTCCAATAGAAATACCCTGAAAGTACCCCCTGAATTTCCCAGCAAATTCATGTAAGCTTTTGTGATGCCATCTACTTAAACCACCACGAGTTGTCTTTCTCTTAGCTTTTATCACAGTGGATTTTTACCTTGGTCACTTATTTCATTGTTTACGGTGTATCTTTTCTCATCGGAACTTCACCTTTCGAGGGTAGGGGCCTCAGTTTTGCTTGCTGCTTATACTCCTAATGTGTAAATGCCTGGTATGTAGCAAATGCTCTGTAACTATTGGTCACATGAATACATGTTGAATAAGTGAGTTGTATAAAAACCATCTTCATTTTCTGTTTGACTAATGTGATTCAGTCAGTCAGCCAATATTTGTAAACACCAATTCTGCACCATACTCCATGTATAGCATTTGCTAAATGCCCGGTTGTTTTCTAAGCACTTTATGTGAAGAAACCCTTTAAATCTCTACAGTAACCCTATGAGATGGTCTGCAAAGATTTTTAAAAAGTATACACACACACACACACACACACACACATATATATGTACGTGTAGGTGTGTGTGTATACATACACACATACGCACAATGGAATGTTATTAAGTCTTAAAACAAGAAGGAAATTTGGGCATATGTTACAATATGATGAACCTTGAGGATGTTATAGTAAGTGGAATAAGCCAGTTGCAAAAAGACAAATAACTGCATAATTCTACTTATATGAAACACTTAGAATAGTCAAAATCATAGAAACAGAAAGTGGAATGGTGGTGACAGGGGTTTGGGGGAGGAGGGAATGGAGAATTATTGTTTAATGGTATAGTTTCAGTTTTACAAAATTAAAGCATTTACGGAGATGGACGGTGGCGATGGCTGCACAAGACATGAACGTATTTAACATCACTGAACTGTACACTTATCATAGCGAAGACGGCAAATTTTCTGTTATGTGTATATTACCAGAATTTTTTAAAAATGAGAAAAAAAAAGTGCTATTTGCAACTCAACAGAATCCATTTATAGCTTTCTGATTCCCCATGGAGGATATTTCACTAAAACTCAGCTGGTATAAAAACAGACATTTCCCAGAGGGATAAACAGAGAAGGCATAATATCCTCTGCAAGATCCTCTATAAACTTCAAAGGCTATGAGGATGCCTATAAGGTTTTCTGTTTTGTTTTATTTTCTGGGGCTTTTTGGTGTGTGTGTGTGACGGTGGAGGCGGAGCATAAACAAACTGTAACTTAAAAAGCTTTAATAACGTCTTATCATAGTGTACTGATTTCTGTAGTATAAAATGTTTTATACTAACTATTCTCCAGATTGCTTTCTCGAGTTAATAATGCACTTTGTAATTAAATGTTGTGTTAGCTGAAGAACACAGGCCATGGTTCTGAGTTAGTTAGATGTGGATGGAGAAATCTGGTGAACAGAGAGCTCCTGTACGGGAAGCATTGAAAATGAAGAGGATAAAAATAGAAAGCAAGGGAAGGGGAGAAAAAAGTGACTCAAGCTCTGGCCGGCGTGGCTCAGCTGGTTGGAGTGTCGTCCCGTACACTGAAAGGTCACAAGTTCGATTCCAGGTCACGGCACATACCTATGTTGTGGTTTGATCCCCAACCCTGGCTGGACTGCGTGCAGGAGGCAACAGATTGATGTTTCTATCTCTCTCTCTCTCTCTCTTTTTCTCTCTCTAAAAATCAATGAACATGTCCTCGGATGAGGAATAAAAATAATGAAAAGTGATTCAAGTCTTTTGAAGATTTTTCAAGCCAAGAATTTGAATTCAAAGAAATTAGTCACCACATAAACTTATGCTTCATTGAATTTACAGAAAGAAAGGTCATCTACACACAAAAATGCACCATCTTCGCTGCTGAATAGCTGAATTCATTGTTTAATACTTAAATATTTTTAATTCCCTTTGCCCCTCAGTCTTGGAGTTAATCAGACTTTCAGTCATGTTTCTCTCCTCTTCATTTCTCTCTCCCTTTCCCTTTGTGTGGGCTGACAATTCCCCACATTCCACGCTGCCCTCCACACCCTTTACACTTCATCCATCTTAAGTGGGGCTTTGTGGACATAACCACTCTTTTCCTAGACGTGGTCTTGGCAGCTCACTGCTAAATGTTCCCTTTGCCTCCTGAGGGCCTGTGTGCAATTTATGATTCATACTGAGTGTCTAACAACAGTATTAACTTTGAGCAAAAGTGCACTGTGTATTTTGGGGGTGGGTCACTGTTTGCTGTTCTGATTGGCAATGTACACATTGATTTAAGCAAAGCTCCTTTGGGCATTTTAGTTTGGGGTGTGACACCATTGTCAACTCTTAGTTTTTCTTAAGAGCAATTAGCTGAAAACTAGTTTCATTCGGTTTGTTTTGGTTTGTTTGGACCAGGGATTTGCTCAAGCAAAAGGGGCTTGTGTGCAGCATTGAGGTTCTCCATCCCTCCCATAAAATACCACGGACAATATTTTCTACATCATGATGGCATCTGTTCTTCTGATCTTGCTCCAAATGCCCTCTTTATGGCAGCAGGTGAAGTTCGTGGAGTCCAAGCACCGGTTTCCTCTCTGGAGCAGCAAGCAGGTGCTGGGAGCAGGGCCCTGGGTCATGGAGACATCACTGTGGAGCAGCCGTGACATGCTCTGGGAAACAAAACTAATTGCCGAACACTGCAATACATGTGAAAACACATTTCCCCCTTGATTCAAGAATGTTATCCTGAACCCTTAGCAAAACCAAGCGGTGGTGCTGACTCAGTCTTCTGCACATTGGCCCCGAACCTGAACATGCTTTTAAATGGAGCTGAGGGTTTAAACAGTGAGTGGAACTCATTTAACTCTGTTTATAGCTATCTCCTCCATTCTGGCTCTGTCCCAGAGATTTCTGATGGCTCCAGCAGCACTGGAGTCAATATCTCTGATGTGTTTGTGTCTGCCCTCTGACCCACACATCGGTGTTATTCTCAGCTGTTCTTTGACAAGGGATCCAACAGCTGCTGTTTAATACCACAGACAACTTGTGACACACACTGAGTTTCTAGCAATAGGATTAACCTGCCAATCTTGGGCTCTAATTCGAAGCTGTCTATAATTTTCCTGCACAGACAGTGTGGGGAGAATAAAAATAACACCTGAAGTATATCGTCATCTTTTATTTCATTGTAGAAAAATAGACACAGTGTTAAACTTTAATTAAACACAAAATATATTCTTGTTGCAATTAAAAAGTAACAGCAAAGTGTATTGCTTCTTCGCATCTGTGGTAACTGAGTTTAAAAATGCTATTCAGTGGAGTCTAGTAGTCACAACGAATTCCTAAAATGGTACCTATTTACTGATAAATGCTCACTGCAATACTTTTTAAATGTCCCTAAGACATCAGAGGCTCTGAGAAAATGTGACCATTCCATATAAACTTTATTTGACAAAAGGCAGTAAGTTTTAGAAAAGCAGATTAATCAAAAGATATATTCCAAGCAATTTTATGGCTTAATCCCAAAACCAATGCATACCAGAATTTATTTTTAAAGTACATTTTGGAAGTCTTTCTTTGCGTAAAAGAGACTTCAAAAGTCTTGAAAAGTCGATATTCAAGTCAATGACTGGCTGGTTTCAAAGTCCACTATAACTGTATAGATTCAGTGGCAAAACTAACTCAAGCTGTCAGGATGTAATTTTTTTTTTTCCATTTGCTATCAAACATCAGCTGATAGGAAGAGAGCTCGAAGCTGCCCTCCACATTTAAGATAATGGCAAAAATAACAGGCACTTAGTGTTACCATACTAGGGGTGTGGCGATTCTCCCTTCTCCTCTCTCGCTCATGATAAACTCAATGGGGTTGTCTATTTTTAACCTCCTGTTCTTTCCTTCTGGCAGAGGAATCAGTGCGAGCCGAGCGCTTCCCCTGAATGAATCCAAGTCACCCGGTGGTTGCCTTCTGAAATGACCGGCAGACACACACCGGCACCCAGGCTGCCCAGAGTGTAAGCTGGTTCTAAAGCACCATGTCCAGCCAAGGAAGTCCCGGAGCGGAGTTTTCCACCACGACAGTCAGTTCGGTGGCTGTGCAGGCTGGGGACTCTAAAATCGTTATAGCTGTCATAAAGGTAAGCTGACAACTTTCTTTTTTTTTCCTGTGTGGCTGCGGACGTCTTGCTGGGTGTCGATCATCCTAAAGAACATTCCACAGATAGCAGTACACGGCATCTAGGAGATAACGCAGCGAGAACATCTTACTGCTGTCTTAAAGGGGCAGCGAAGAAAAACCTCTGTGAAGTTTCAGCCAGTTGCTACAGTTTCCCTTTCAGTTAGTGAGAGGCATGGACAGCAGCTTGGTTAGAAACAAAGCAAAACAATGAAACCTTGGATTTTCAGTTTGGTTTTCAAAGGCAAGGCACTCCTGATTTCTAAGTCATGATTGCGAGGCTGCCGAGTCAAGTGGACCTATGATATATTTGTGATTTTTGAGAGTGCATGTGAAGGAGGAAGGACAAGAAAGTCCCAGCAGAGAGGGGGTGGCATTGTTTCGGGCATAATGGAACACAGAAAACCGATGAGCGGCTCTGACATGTGCCCTTCTTTGCCCTGGTGGTGACACGGCCACATTGTTGGGGGAATGAAGACCCTGCCAGGGAATGTGCAAAGGGCATGTGTCATATTTGCTCTTGACAGCAGGAAGTTGAAGCCACTTGGGACTTACGTTTTATGACATGTTTTATGTCAAGCAATTTGCCTGTTTGCAAAGATGATAACACATCTTTAGGTTGAAGAAGACAACTGTGATTTTATTTCCTATGAAAATGCCCTGCAATACCCCATGAAACGTTATGCTTGGAACTAGACTATCCACCGCCTAAGGAATTCAGTGTTTAATGAAGGGAATCCGGCCGGCGACAAGCTGGCGCTGACCAGCCAGTTACTTTCAGGACACCCACCCCCACCCCCGCCAGGCCTTTTGTTAGAGCAGGAACAACAAGGCCTGTTTAACGTCACCTAATTCTGTGAATTTTATGTTAATGTGAAAATCATAATAGGAAAACAGCACTTGACATTGAGCAAAACGATCTACTCCTGTAGCACTGAATCAGTGTGTCCCACCCAGCCAGGCCATTTCCCAGGGCCGTTGACACTTGGCCCCACATAAACAGGACCTCTGCTGACTCCCTGCCTTCTGTCTCTTCAAAGGCAATGAGTGCACTTGGAGAAAAGCCTGAAGCAAATGTAGCAAAAACTGATAATTTGCGTGTGATTTTACGATCCTTTGAGTATCTGCAAACTTCAGCAATGAAGGAAAAGAGGCAAACTCACTGTCTTCAAAAAGTTAATTTTTCCCCCTCAAATACAAAATATTTCTCAGAGCAGGATAAAGAATGATGCATACAGAATATTATAGGAGAGGCCGAGGTATTGACAGTAAGGAAAAAATCTCTAAGATCACACTGGGAATTCTTACTTTCATTGAACTGTGTTCCTGAGAACATCCCCTTCGTCTCCCCACCTCAGCCCTTCAGCCCACTGCCATCACACATCACTAATCCCCAGCTCTTCCGAGTGCACAGTCCACCTTAAAGGAGAAGCGCCTGTGCCCGATCCGTATGGGCCTCTTGTTTCCAAACGGTGTCAGGGAACTAATGACCTGCAGCAGACGTATGTTTTTCTCATTTCTCCTCAGCAGTTCCCCTGTCCACGGGCATGTGCCGGCTGCGGCCCCTCCTCCTTACTGCGTTGTTGCCTCCCAGATGGGCACTTCCTCAGGAAATGCAGTGGTCAGCGTGTCCTGGAGCAGTGAGGGGGTCCCGAGTATGGAAGACAAGCTGGCTGCTTTCAAATGGCATTTGTCACATGTGTCTAATTTTACTGATATCTTCCTATATACTTTATTGAACACTTGACAGCGAAAGTTGGAAAATGTTATGTTTTAACTTTGAAATAAGATGAAAATCAGTTGTTTCTTCTGCTGTTTATTCTTTCTGGTTAAACCAGCAAGGTCAATGTAAAGACACTGATCAGCCTAAATTGATTCACAAAACCTTCCCAGGCCCTGCTGGTGTGGCTCAGTGGCTGAGAGTCGACCCGTGCACCAAGAGGTCACCAGTTCAGTTCCCGGTCAGGGCACATGCCCAGGTTGTGGGCCAAATCCCCAGTGAGGGGCATGCAGGAGGCGGCCAGTTGATGTTCTCCCTCATCGATGTTTCTCTCTCTCTCTCCCTCTCCCTTCCTCTCTCAAACATCAATAAAGAAAAAAACAAAAACAAAAACAAAAACAAAAAACTCCTTCCTCTTGTGGTAAAGTTTGCATTCTACTTGCCCGAGTGGAATTTCACTATTTTTATGGAAAATATTTTTGTGAGTGAGAGAACATACAATTATGTGAATTATTTTGTAATTCTGTAATAGTCAATAATATATCATCTATTGTATGTGTTCCTCATTTGGGAATTTTAAATTGAAATCCAACATGCCAAGAGAAAAGACTATCTTAAGAATAAAGAAAGAAAAAGCAGGACATGGATTTATATTAGACCTGTTGTGTTTCAGTTGATTAAGGCCCATCTCTAAGGAAAGAATAGTGTTCACAGTAAAACTGGAAACTTAAAACACACACACACACACACACACACACACACACACAGAGAAAAAGGAGAAGGGTGAAGGGGAAAGAACAAGAGGAACTAAAAGTGCTTTTCATTCAATTTTATTTTTAGTGTGGCAAATGGGTACAACTTCAGCTGGCTGAATCGCAGCCCAATATTTTGGAAATTGGTAGCAGTCAAGATGAAACCAAAAAACTTCTTCATGATCATGAACTTCTTTTGGCCAAGCTCAAGGTAAGAAAGATATGAAGCTATGATGCAGATGCAAACTGAACAGAAATAAAAAGCCGTTCCTTACACCTCCTCTCGGCCCCTCTGCTGTCCTGGCCTGAGGCTGCCTTCGGGAGCTGCCAGACCATGGAAAACGCTGCAGCTACTTGTGAGCAAACGCCAGCAGTGGAGAGCAGTAACAAGAGTTTTTAAAACTTTCCCCAATGTGACAGAAAATATGGAGTGATAATATTTTTACTGTGGAGCAATAAGTAATTTTTTTTTCCTGGCTGCCTCAGTGAGAAAAAAAATTCCATCACTTTTCCATTTCATGCATCACACTGTCGGGTCACATCAACAGATCCAGACTTTCTATTGTTGCTGATACCTGCTGGCAAGAGTAATGCAGAGGTTTTTTCCCTTCTGTTGAACTACTGAAAATACCTGACTTTGTGTTTAATATTAAGAGTTCTTGAAACCAAATAATACTTTAGTAAAATCAGAGTTATTATTCTGCATGTGCTATGGTTATTTAGTTAAGAATCTAAAAATAATATTGCTCTGGCCTGTGTGGCTCAGTGGTTGAGCATTGACCCACCAGGAGGTCGCCAGTTCGATTCCTGGTCGGGGCACATGCCCAGGCTGTGGGCCAAACCCCCAGTGGGGGGCATGCAGGACGCGGCCAATTGATATTTCCTCTCATCGATGTTACTATCTTTCTCTCCCTCTCCCTTCTTTTCTCTCTAAAATCAATAAAGAAAAAAAAAATTTAAAAATAATATTGCCTTGTGATTACCAGATAAGGTATCTAATCAGGGCCAGCTATATAATTTGTGAGGCCCAGTGCCAAATGAAAATTGGGGCTCCCTGTTCAAAAAGCAGGATAAAGCTTTTTCTTGACCAGTTACGGTGTTTATTTTTCTATATATCTGCTATTTAATGTCTAGCTCCTTCAGACATGAGGATGTGTGTGGGGTGATACGGCCTAGGCCATGGCTCAGTCACAGGGTGTGGGCTTGACCCCAGCTCTTCTGAGCCATACCCTGACCCCTCCCGGGCAGAGGACAGGGTCACTGAGCGGGGCCGGGGAAGCAGACTGCATAGCACAGAGACTCTCCCCAGGAGACAGGAGCACACGCGCACTGAGGCTCTGGGCCTCCAGTCCTTCCTCTGTTGTCCCATTGGATTTCACTTATAAAACACAAATTCAGAGATAAAATTATTAACACTTTTACCACAGCGACAGGTAAAATTTTAAATCCCAAGTGGTCTTCCCTCCCGAGGATGGAGCCCTGTGATGAAGCCAGCCCTGTGAGTAACAGCCAACCCGGTGAATAATAACCCACGTGGGCAAATGAATGTCGTCACTGAGAACAAAGAGGTTTGATCCAGGGGCCTGCAAGGACTGGATGTTCTGTGTTTTTAATATTACTGGCTTCTTTGAACATCTTGGCTGAAATTTATACTTGCTTCCTAGATTTAGAGGTAGTTCTGGTCTGCATCTGAATAATGCCAGCAGTGGTTTTCTGATTGGACAGTAGGAAAAGTAATTGGGTGAATCAGACTGAGAAGTTGAAGGAAGAGTTAGTGTTGAAGCAGGGGGCCATTAGAATCCAGAATTGATTTTGCTGTTTAGCCAGCTCCTTGCTCTGGGCTCTGGGCTGTCCTTCAAGGTAGCAGTCACTGGCCACCAGGAAGTCCTTTGTGTGTCTACAAAACCACATTATGATGTGAATGAGGTTGAACCAGGAATCAAAAGACCAATGTTTTGGCACTAACTATGCCACGTACTTGTGTAATTCAGCCAACAGCCCAAGGTTGTACTGCTGCCCTAAAAGCTCAGTTCCATGGGCAGTGGAAACCCATCAGCTTCCTCCCAATTCTTGCCCATCCCCAGGGGCTTACTCTCTTATGGTCTCCTGTGCCGTTATCTCCTTCATATGCACCTGTTTCTGAAGTTAATCGGGACGTGAAACTACATCCCTTGTCCAGGTCCACTAACAGTGGGTGCCCAGCCATCGTTCTCAGCCCACTGGAGTACTGTGGGCTGTGGGGAAGCTCGTGGCAGTCTGCAGCTCTCGGCCACGTCTCCTCCCTGCCCCATCCTGTCCAGGACCACAGCTCCAGGGAGAATGCTTTCTTAGGTGGAGCAATTCAGATCTCCCAAAAACTTGACTCAAATTTGCCTCCTGAAATCTACCCAGGAGCTCAGCTGGAAAGGGGTTTTTCTTTTAACAGGACCCATCTTTCAAAGGTGCTTGTTCTAGATTCTGGAGTCTTCTCATCCTTTTAAAACAGTTTTGTGGCTATGGAATAACCTTCTGGACTTCAGGCTTTTTTTTTTTTTAATGTTTTTATTGATTTTTTTAGAGACAGAGGAAGGGAGAGGGGGGGAGAGAGAGAGAGAAACATCAATAAGAGAGAAGCATCAACATCCATTGGCTGCCTTCTGCGCACCCCTTACTGGGGATTGAGCCCACAAACTGGGCTTGTATCCTGACCCGGAATTGAACCAGCAACCTCTTGGTGCACAGGTTGATGCTCAACCACTGAGCCACACTGGCTGGGCAGGACTTCGGGCTTTTTATCTGTAAGATGCCGAAAGCTTCACAGCTATTGTATATCTTAACATAATGTATCATGGGATCATGGGCCATACTGCCTCTTTGCATACGGGTCTAAGAACATGAAATCTCAAGTAAAATGAGCTTTTGACTTCACACGGGCTGTTAGCCAATGTCTTCTTCTTCTTCTTCTTTTTTTTTCATTTAATTAATTTATTTATTTTGTTATAGATGTTTCTCCTTTTTACCCCACTGATACCTCCCTCCTCCACCCTCCCTGCCCTGTCCCCAGCTTTGTTGTCCATGTCCATTGTTCATGCATACATGCATACAAGTTCTGTGGTTTATCTCTTCCCACCCCCTCTTCTGGGGATTGTCAGTCTGTACCCCACTTCCACATCTCTGGGACTACCCCGTTCCTCAGACTGTCATGTTCATTATATTCCACAAATAAGTGAGATCATGTGGTATTTGTCTTTCTCTGCTTGGCTTGTTTCGCTTAGCATAATACTCTCCAGGTCCCTCCATGTTGTCTCAAAGGATAAGAGATCTTTCTTACAGCTGCATAGTACTCCATTGTGTATATGTACCACTGCTTTTGTATCCATTTGTCTACTGATGGACATTTGGGCTGTTTCCAGATCTTAGCTATTGTAAATAGTGCTGCTATGAACATGAGGGTACATATATTCTTTCTGATTGGAGTTTCAGGCTTCTTAGGGAATATTCCTAGAAGTGGGATCACTGGGTCAAATGAGAGTTCAATTTTATATTTTTTGAGGTAACACCATATTGTTTTCCATAGTGGCTGCACCAGTCTGCATTCCCATCAGCAATATACTAGAGTCCCCTTTTCTCCACACCCTCACCAACACTTGTTGTTTGATGATTTGGTGATGGCAGCCATTCTGACAGGTGTGAGGTGATACCTCATTGTTGTTTTAATAAAAATCTCTCTGATGATTAGTGATGTTGAGCATTTCTTCATATGTCTCTTAGCCATTTGTATGTCCTGTTTGGAGAGGTGTTTATTTAGTTCCTCTGCCCATTTTTTAATTGGGTTCTTTGTCTTCCTTTTGTTGAGTTGTATGAGTATTCTATATATATTGGAAATTAACCCCTTATCTGATGTATCGTTGGCAATTATGCTCTCCCATACAGTGGGTTGCCTTTCCATTTTGATAATTGTATCTTTTGCTGTGCAGAAGCTTTTGAGTTTGATATAGTTGCATGTGTTCATTTTTTCCTTTGTTTCCGTTGCCTTAGGTGATGTATCAGTGAAAATTCTGCTGTGTATGATGTCTGAAATTTTGTTGCCTATAGTTTCTTTTAGGATTTGTATGGATTCATGAGTCACATTAAAGTCTTTTATCCATTTTGAGTTTATTCTTGTGTATGGTATAAGTTGATGTCCAGTTTCATAAAAATATGGAACGCTTCACGAATGTGCGTGTCATCCTTGTGCAGGGGCCATGCTGAGCTTCTCTGTATCGTTCCAATTTTAGTATATGTGCTGCCAAAGTGAGCACTCCAATGCCTTCTTAATTTTCCTCTCCCATACCATCGCGCACTCCATCCACCACTATCAACTCAGCCACCCATCCTCAAGAAATTTTAAATAGCGACATCATCTTCAATGTTACTGGTTTTAAAAAAGTCAAGCATTCTGAAACTGTTCCAGATTTGATGACAAAGTATTTTTTTAAATAACAAAAAATGTAAGTATGAATGTGAATTTCATTTTGAAAAGAAATAAATCACTAATTCAACTAATTACTAGTAATGCTGTCAGAGCAGCCAATAATATTCAATGTTGAATGTTCATTTCAGTCTGTTTTTTCCTGCCATCGTTCTAATTATAAAGAAGAGTCACAGTTAGGAGTCTTGGGAGGGTGTAGGAATTCAATTCTGAGTCCACTCTGCTTGTTGTTGTAGTTCCTAATCCTCACCTGAGGAGATTTTTTCCATTGAGTTTTTTAGACACTGTGGGAAGGAGTGTGGGAAGGAGAAAGAGCGAGAGCGAGAGCGAGCGAGAGAGAGAGAAAGAGAGAAGCATCCGTGTAAGAGAAACACATGTGTGTGACCCCGACCGGGACCAGGGATCAAACCTGAAACCGGGTACATGCCCATGACCCTTCCTTCCGAGGGCCACTGAGCTAACCGGCCAGAATGAGTCCACTCTGATTTCAGCAAAGCACTTAGCCTCTCTGGGTTCAGGTTATTTATTTGGAAAATGACTAAAAAAATTTGGGGGAGAAATGCAATGATTTATGGAAGTGCCTGCTGCCTTTTAAAAAGTGGTATAATTGGCCCTGGCCAGTTTGGCTCAGCGTTTAGGGCATCGGTCCGCAGATCAAAGAATCATGGGTTCAATTCTGGTCAAGGGCACGTACCTCAGCAGCAGTTCATCCCTGGCCCTGGTCGGGGTCGTGCTGGAGGCAACCAATAGATGTGTCTCTC